ACATTGATCAACATCTTTGGAGAAAATACTGCTGAGATGCAGGACATTCTTCAGATTGTTGTTCAGGCCTTCATGAGGATGAAGAAGGTCAGACTGAATCCCAGCTGGAGACAAGAGGGTCTATGTGTTGTCAGTTTTAGGGATTCAGAGCTCTGGGAAATCCACCATGCTGAACGCCATGTTTGGACTGCAGTTTGCTGTCAGTGCTGGCAGATGCACCAGAGGAGCTTTCATGCAGCTGGTCAGAGTGTCGGAGGAGATGAAAGCACAGCTGAAGTTTGACTACATTCTGGTCGTTGATACTGAAGGACTTCGTGCCCTAGAACTGGCTGGAAGGTCAACAAGAAATCATGATAATGAAATGGCCACATTTGTTGTTGGTCTCGGAAATATGACATTGATCAACATCTTTGGAGAAAATACTGCTGAGATGCAGGACATTCTTCAGATTGTTGTTCAGGCCTTCATGAGGATGAAGAAGTTCAGACTGAAACCAAGCTGCATGTTTGTGCATCAGAACGTTTCAGATGTTACAGCTGGAGAGAAAAACATGGAGGGAAGGAGACGACTGCAGGAGAAACTGGATGAGATGACGAAACTTGCCGCTAAAGAGGAAGATTGTGATACAGAGTTTTTCAGTGACGTCATTGCATTTGACATTCAGAATGATGTGAAGTATTTTGCACAGCTCTGGGAAGGCAGCCCACCAATGGCACCACCGAACCCCGACTACAGCAGAAATATTCAGGAGCTGAAAGACACCATTCTCTCAAAAGCTTCCTAATCTAATGGCATTACACTGTCTCAGTTCAGAACGCGTATTAATGATCTGTGGAGTGCACTGCTAAATGAAAACTTTGTGTTCAGCTTCAAAAACACACTTGAGATTGCGGTATACAGAAAACTAGAAACTAAGTACAATGACTGGACGTGGAGCCTCAGAAGTGCCATGATCGGCATTGAAGACAAATTCTACAACAGAATTGCTAATGGAAGCATTAAGGTTCAGGAAAATGACTTGTTGGCTGACATGAGGATGACAAAGGAGCAGGTAGAAAAATCAATCACGTCTTACTTTGAGGAGGACAAAGACAAAGACATTCTGTGCCAATGGCGAGGAAGATTTGAAACCAGAATCAAAGAGCTTCATGATGACCTTGTGAAGGGAACAAAACGAAAGTTAGATGAAGCGATTGAAGAGAAAAAAGCCAGAGAGCAGCTGGATCAAAGAAGGACAGAGTATGAAAATAAGCTTTTCAGTCGGAGCAAGGAGCTAGCTTTGAGACTGAAAAATACAGGAACAGATGAACATATGCTTAAGAAGGAGTTTGACACAATGTGGAGTAAATGGGTCACTGAAATGACCAAAGACACACCTCCACTGGCAGACATTAACTTTTGGGAAGATGTGACACAGATATTATCTGAAATGAGCCGTGAACTGACTCTTGTAAATGAGCGCTTAAAACAAAAAGTCTACAAACTGATAGACCGCCGGAGTGATTATTGTGACTACATGATACTAAAGAAGCGTTTGGAGTGCTCTGGTGAAACGGCATCTTCAGCGGAAGCTACCGAGAGCTCTAAGAAAAGCAAGAGTGGGATGTTCGGTTGGTTTGGTCAAAAAAGTATGTCAGGCATAGGATATTTTAGATGGACTCCAAAGCCACAAGAGAACATGGGCCTAAATGCTGAATTTCATTACTCAATAAGGGATCTGACTCTCAAAATTATTCAGGAACTAAAAGGATAATGAAGAAGTCACCAGTTGGAACACGAGGCTACAATGAGAGTTACATTCAGGAAATAACAGACTGTGTTAAAAAATCAGTACAGAAACATCAATCCGTGAGCCAAAAATACAAATTGAAAAGGGAGTTTACCATAGATCTGAGTCTCCATGTGTGTGAGATTGCCAGACAGACTTTTACTGATCTCCACAAAGAATTCAGAGAAGCAAATGACCCAAGACTTTATCTTAATAAGCAGAAAACTCAGTATTGGAACATCTTCAAGAACTACTACAAAGGAGCAACAACAACAACTATACTGAGTGAATTCATCTGCAGCAATCTTCAGCGGAAGCTACCGAGAGCTCTAAGAAAAGCAAGAGTGAGTGGGATGGTTGGTTTGGTCAAAAAAGTATGTCAGGCATAGGATATTTTAGATGGACTCCAAAGCCACAAGAGAACATGGGCCTAAATGCTGAACTTCATTACTCAATAAGGGATCTGACTCTCAAAATTATTCAGGAAACTGAAATGATAATGAAGAAGTCACCAGTTGGAACACGGGGCTACAATGAGAGTTACATTCAGGAAATAACAGACTGTGTTAAAAAATCAGTACAGAAACATCAATCCGTGAGCCAAAAATACAAATTGAAAAGGGAGTTTACCATAGATCTGAGTCTCCATGTGTGTGAGATTGCCAGACAGACTTTTACTGAACTCCACAAAGAATTCAGAGAAGCAAATGACCCAAGACTTTATCTTAATAAGCAGAAAACTCAGTATTGGAACATCTTCAAGAACTACTACAAAGGAGCAACAACAACAACTATACTGAGTGAATTAATTTGCAGCAAACTTGAACCATCTATCCTACAAGCAGTTTACAACAAAACTGCTAATGATTTGGCCACACAGATGAGGTCTGACATAACAGCTTTACGTGAGAACAGACCCAATCTGGAGAAACACATTCTGAGATCCCTTGCAGAAAAGGAGGACTTTGAGGAGTACAAAGAATACATTCATAATCCCAGAGAACACTTCAAACAATTCATAAAGAACGAAGTGAAAAGCTACTTCACCAGCCAAAATGAAATGATTCTAAATATTTTCAAAGGAAATCTAAAACAAAAGGAGCAGATTGTATGTAATGCAATAAAAGCCACAACAGTGAAGGTCAAGAGTCGGAATGGAGATGGTAGCATGTGGTTCAGATGCTTCACCACAGCCCTGACAGATGAGCTGAAACTCACAGAGAACTCATGTGGTGATCTTAGTGAAATTAAAGACTTGGATTTTCTCGAGACCTTTTTGAATGACAGTCTAGAGGAGAGGATGACAAACCTACAGAACAGTTTTAAAAATATTAATGACATAAAATTGGAGAAGTGCAGGAAAAGACCAGATGAGATTTTGATTGAGCACTTCTGTCAGTGCTGCTGGGTTCAGTGTCCTTTCTGTAACGCCATCTGCACCAATACAATGAAAGACCATCCTGGAGATCACTGCGTTCCTTTCCACCACAATACTGGACTGAATGGGTGGTTTTACAGAGGAACAACAAACCTGGCTATTGATATCTGCACAACAGCAGTATCGAGTGATCGATCCTTTTACCCAAATTCCTCAGATGATTCAGTCCCCTGGAAAGAATACAGAAGAGGAGGTCCTAAATATGCTAACTGGAGCATCACGCCTGATAACTCTGAGCTGCCGTACTGGAAGTGGTTTGTGTGCAGATACCAGGAAGATCTGGAAATATACTACAGTAAGACATTCCAGGGGTGTGGTGAGATTCCAGATGAATGGAAACGATACACAAAAAAGGAAGCTCTGGAGAGTTTGGATAAATACATGTAATGGGAAATTAAACAAATGGCACTCTGTCAGCTCCCTGATTAAAGATTATATTTGTACATCCTGTTTCACAACACAGGAAGATCTGGAAATATACTACAGTAAGACATTCCAGGGGTGTGGTGAGATTCCAGATGAATGGAAACAATACACAAAAAAGGAAGCTCTGGAGAGTTTGGATAAATACATGCAATGGGAAATTAAACAAATGGCACTCTGTCAGCTCCCTGATTAAAGATTATATTTGTACATCCTGTTTCACACAACACTGTTTCCAAACTGATATATGCAGTACATTGTGCTTTTATATGATAGTTTTGTTATAAACACTGCTGAGCTTTTCATTTAGATGCGCTGTAGATGCGTTGATCAGTACTATCAAAGTATAGCGAGACAACCGTGACTGTTAAAGCCAGTAGGAAATGTTTCATAATTTACTCAGTCAAAATTGTTGATGTTCTTTTATTTTTGTGACTTCTTTGATTTTCTGTGACTTTGTAGATTTTTTTGTGACTTTTTGTGACTTCTTAGATCTTCTGATCCATGCTAGGAAATTGGTGGATGTGATGATGCAATGTAATGCTCTAGCACTGACTGAAATACAACAGATAAATTTGACTGTGATGTACAATCTAAATTTTATTTACTGTTTTTGTTGTTGTTTTATTATGTTGTAGTATCTTATATCTACTCTGGATGAAAACCAAGAGTCAACATGTAAAAAAAAAAAAACCCAACCACATCGTTTTGCTCACCAGAGATGAAAATGCACCATAATTGTTAACCACTTTAATCTTTAGAAAGCTCTTATAGTACCTACATAATAGAATATTTTTGATTTGTACTCATGGTTATCACAGACATATTGTAGTTCTAGGTTTTATTAAACTGTGTGATGATTTAAATTCTGAATAAAGCTGGGTGAATGAGCTAAAGTTTGTTTTTGTTTTTTAGCGCATAACTTACATATACCTATGCATAACAGAGGTATGAAGACTAAGTAAAAAGTTAGTTCATTAATGAACTAACTTCCCCCGGGATTACCGCATATGGATCAGTACTATCAAAGTTTAGAGAGACAAACATGTTGACTGCCAGTGGGAAATGTTTAATGATTTACTAAGTCAAAAAAAAAAGAATCCTCAGCTTACAAAAATAAATTGCCCTGTTGAAAAAAACAGCATATGCTGGTTAGGTATGTTTTGACACTGGGATGCTGGTTTATGCAGGTCCTTTGCTGGTTTATGCTGGTCCTTTTGCTGGTTTATGCAGGTCCTTTGCTGGTTTATGTCTCTTGCACTGACTGGAATTCAATAGATAAATTAGTCTGTTAATTTCATATTGGACATAATTTTTCAAGCAGTCATGTTGCTTGTATCTTACATCTACTCTGGATGGCTATTATATTTTTAAAATATATTTGAACTTGTGTTATGTCATGTGCAATTTGATGCCATTTGAACTATTTTAGAATTAAAATCGGTATCTTAAGGGTCTGAAATCTTAAAATGTCCATTGTCCGCAAAAATCCAGGCAGCTATCAGTGAACAATGCAAATGTACTCAATAGCGACCTCTAGTGACAGATCTCGACAGGCCCAACAAACGCCAGCTCTCTTCCGGAAGTGACTCATTCCCTGATTGTCAACATGTAAGATGGCGACGCATCACAGGCAGAACGCTGCGGGACGGAGGAAAGTCCAGGTAATAATTTACAGAAAATGTTTCGTAACTTTAAAACCATGTATAAATGAATTTATAATACGTTTACTTGTTTCAGGAAAGTGTTGCCAATATAGCGTCCATAATATTTACCAACCGAAACATTACCACCCTTACAAGAATTACTGTGGTGTTACTATAGTCCAGTGGTGATATGTAACGCAAACGCAATGGCATTTAGTCATATTTAAATGTGTCCAAATGCTTTTTGGACCACTGTATAGGTTTATATTCATGTACTTAAATTTGTTATTTTAGTACAATTGTCTGCTTATTGATTAGGTTCATTAGATTAAAACAATAACGTTATACCATTGCATAGATGTTGTATAGCCTTAAAATTAAATGTTATGCACTTAATGGAGATTTGCAAGACACATATATCCTACTTTTTCTATATCTGTAGTAAATTGGTAGTTTAGTAGACTGTAGGTAGTCTCTGATTGTCTAATAAACTGAAGTTATTAATAATGATGTGTTTACAGGTTTCCTACGTGATTAGAGATGAGGTGGAGAAGTACAATCGTAACGGTGTGAACGCTCTTCAGCTGGATCCTGCTCTCAACAGACTCTTCACAGCCGGCCGAGATTCCATCGTCAGGATATGGAGTGTCAATCAACACAAAGTACAACCTGCATTTTTCATGATTTATGAATATTAATGCCCTTGGTCCCATGTTTTGTGACTGTGCAACCACACTTTCCATTTTGAGCAACAGTGTTAACTTTGTATCTCCCTCAAAGGCGTATTTTATCCCCATTCTGTCTCTCTGTGGTTAAATGTTTCTGATAAATCCAACTAACAGCCGTTTACTGCAGCAGGATCCTTACATCGCTTCAATGGAGCATCACACGGACTGGGTGAATGACATCATCCTCTGTTGTAATGGAAAAACATGTACGTCTAAGCGCCTTTTACAGAAACTTCATGCTCAAATCTCATCAAATATATTCTGAGCTTTAGCCAGTTTCGGTGGATTGTTCTGTGTTGCAGTGATATCAGCCTCCTCGGACACCACCGTGAAAGTCTGGAATGCACACAAAGGGTTCTGCATGTCCACGTTACGGACACATAAGGTACGTTTCTTATTATATTCATCTTAGTTTGTTGTTTTAATTTTGTTTAGAATTTTCATGCATAAGGGTTATTCTGATGGCAGTCTTGCATTGCCAGACATTTGACTATTGACAAAAAATTTGGTCATTTAACAGCTCCAGGAATTTGCATAGAAAACAGATTAAAGCTTGAAATTTTGAGAAAGTTCTTGCCATTTTGTGTGCAATGTGATTATGAGACAAAGTGATTTTGATTCACTCTTCAGGACTACGTCAAAGCTTTAGCATATGCAAAGGAAAAGGAGCTGGTGGCATCAGCCGGTCTGGACAGGCAGATCTTCCTGTGGGATGTGAACACACTGACGGCTCTGACTGCCTCTAATAATACAGTCACCAGTGAGTAAACTCTCTTAATCATTCTGTTTGACACTGTCTTCCTTCTGAGTCATCGAGTTAGGGTTGAAGCATGTAATTAAGCAGATGATTATGAAAACCCATTTCTTCCGAAGTGAATGCAGCACTGCATCCAGTGTTATTATAGTATCGTTGAGATACTGTTATAGGTTTTATTAAAAGTTGGAATTTTTTTTTATTTTAGTTGTAGTTAAAGTTTTAGTAAATTTCTTGTGTCTTTTTGACATTTGTATTAGTTAGTTTTTTTAATATGTTTATATAGTTTTTTTTTTTTTTTTTACTTAAGTGCATCAAGTTAAACTGAAAGAAAATGAAATGTTGCCTCGGTAACTAGCTTAAATAAGTTTAGGTTTTTGCATATTTTATTTCAGTTAACATTTATTTTATTTCAAAATGTTATCTGTTTATTTTTTTTTAAATTAGTTAAGTATAATAACCCTGATTGCATCCATAATTTCTGTGATAGCTTCCTCACTGAGTGGAAACAAGGACTCCATCTACAGTCTGGCCATGAATCAGACAGGAACTGTGATCATCTCAGGATCTACAGAGAAGGTTAGTCTCACAGTTTTGTGGTTTTAGGTTTCAAGGAAGGAAAATTGTCATTTCAACTGCAGGTTCAAATAAAAAGGTTTTGATTGTTGGAAATTTTTTGTGTCATTTTTTTTATATTTTGTCAGGTCCTGAGGGTCTGGGATCCACGGACATGTGCTAAGCTAATGAAGCTGAAAGGCCACTCTGACAACGTAAAATCATTATTGTTAAACAGAGACGGCACTCAGGTAGGACTTCAACACAGCTCCAGAAATAATTGCAAATTTTGTATATCACATGTGCATGACATCCCAAACTATGAGAAAATATCTTTGGAATCCGGCTTTTCGAACTGAGATGCAAAAAATCTTATTTTAATATGAATGTGATTTGGTTAATGTTTGTAAACATCAGCTTTCGTCTGGTTTTTTTTTGTTTTTTTCAAACGGCTAAATAGATTTGCTTCAGATATGCCAAAAAATCTGATATTTTTTACCTGTCTGAACACAGCCATAGTTACTCTAACTTTGAGGTTTTTCATCAAATACACGTTAAACCTGCATTGTTTCTCTGTCTAGTGTCTCTCTGGCAGCTCAGATGGTACGATACGCTTGTGGTCTCTCGGTCAGCAGAGATGCATCGCCACATACCGGGTCCACGATGAGGGCGTGTGGGCCCTGCAGGTGAACGAGGCCTTCACGCACATCTACTCTGGCGGACGTGACCGAAAAATCTACTGTACAGATCTGCGTAACCCTGACTTGCGTGTGCTCGTATGTGAAGAGAAAGCTCCCATCCTGAAGGTAAGCTTGAGCTGCTTCGTGTTTGAAAATATAGAAATGAAGTCATTGTTAAATGTAAGTGTTCAGTCCTTTAAGAAAGCTGCTCTTATATATGATGTTTTCTCTGTGCAGATGGAATTGGACAAATCAGCTGATCCTCCTCAAGCAATTTGGGTGTCCACAACTAAATCATTTGTAAACAAATGGGTAAGTTACGTTTCAGAGATTTATACACAGTAGTGTATATGTACAATCAAATTGAAATGCATTGAACTGAATGGAAATGTTCCTTTAGCTCATATCTGTCTGTATTTGTTTATTTGTCAATCTCAGTCTCTAAAGGGCATGCAGAACTTCAGAGCATCCGGAGACTATGACAACGACTGTAGTGCCCCTTTAACTCCACTGTGTACACAGCCAGAGCAGGTCATCAAAGGTAAATGATCTGCTAGAGCAGGCACTTGAGTATCAGATCGGTGTTGCCTATTGGTTTAAAGGGGTCATATGATGTTGCTAAAAAGAACATTATTTTGTGTATTTGGTGTAATGAAATGTGTTTATGCGGTTTAAGGTTAAAAAAACACATTATTTTCCACATACTGTACATTATTGTTTCTCCTCTATGCACCGCCTTTCTGAAAGGCGTAGATTTTTACAAAGCTCATCGGTCTGAAAAAGCGAGGTGAGCTGTGATTGGCCAGCTATCCAATGCATTGTGATTGGCCGAAT